AACTCTCAGCTTACCAGACCTAAAGGATAAGAGGACTAAAGTTGGAAAGAAAGTGATAGACTGAAGAGCTTTGTAAAGGATTCTGAAGAATGAAATTACTTCAATAAGACTCTAAGCCAGTTTCAGTTTGCACTGAGACTAGCTCACTTATGAGGTTTTACTCAGCCCTGTTTACAGGATATATGGGTGCAGACCCGTTACTAACAAACCACAAGGAACTGTAATTGCTTTACAACAGTACACCTGAACCACCTATGAAAAATGGTGGAGAATGCAGTCGTCTTTCTTTGGAAATAGTTACAAACATATTTTTCCATCGCAGACAAAAGAACACATTCCAATTATAGCTATGATTGGCTAAAATATAGAGTAAGGTCACAAAATTTCCCTTGGTAATTACTGTGAGAAAATTACACATTACAAAACTGACCTTTTGTTAACTTCCAATTTTAAACCTGCTAAGGATTTTGTTACATATACTTACTGATCTTGCATGAAAGCCTCATAAATCTCCCCTACCATGATGACAAGATACACTGTAGGTTTTGCCTGTGCATCAAAATAGTATGAGATAAACCTTACTCCCTACATTCCACACCGATTTAACGGGGTTCATGTCAGACAGTTGCTTTCACCTTACAAAGAAACATGCTTTAGAAACATATTTTCTTGTTTGCTACCTCAGATTAATATCTTCTAGAAATACTTACTGCCCTTATATATTCAAATTCAACCAGATATGTGACTGGCTTACTTTCCAGCTGACTTCAACTCCTTTATTTTAGGAAGAGTCAATATGCATTTTTTTTCACAAATCAACTCCTTACATTTCTAATTGGAATTCACTTTCATTAGCTCTGATGAAATCCAGTGCTTGCAGCATATATAAGGGTTTAAGAGACATGTAAAATGCATGCATGTGTAAAAGCATTAATTTACATCAGAGGTTGTCACTTTTTTCCTCAGACAATAAAGACTAAATAAGCATAAGACTATAAATACAATATTAAAAAACATACTAAACATAAAGCTATAAATACTAAAATTTTCAAGAATGGAAATGGTAACAAGGGAGGAAAAGTGAAGAAATCTTTATTTTATGAATTCCAGTGGTCTTCTTATCAATACACAGTCCTTATTCAGTGTAGCATGATGCTTCACACTGCCTTGTGATGGCAAAAGCTCACGACTTCCACAAAGAAAGGGATTTCACTCCTTTAAAGCAAATTTTACACATACTGCTTATATTGACGTTAACCTCTGTTTCTTGATTTAAAGCAAGATACTCTTCAGCAATTTTCCTCTGTTTCTGGCAAATATGCTAAATATTCCAAGGAAAAATAGTGTGGTCACAAAACACTTTATCTCCCCCTGCCTCTTGCATCCTCTCTGGTGTGAGAGCATCTAAAAACATCATGGAACAATTGGCGGTAGGAACTAATCAACCATCCATGACAAGCAGATTATGAGCAAGCTGCAGCAGATGATTAAACAACACATTTTCTGATCTGTCTCCTTTTCTTGTTCTCATCCAGATAGATAATATTTTAAATGGTATCACTGAGGACAAATAAGTGCTTTTTATATCTTGTGGAAGAAGTGATTTTACATCTTGTAGATGCATGTGCAAGTGCCACAAAATTTCTCCCCTGGCCTTCTTTCATGCTGCTACCATCTTTTTATGTTTTCTTAGCCCTAAAACTCTTTTTAGGTGATGAGTTAACTTATCAGATAACTGAGTTTTATGGGAAAAGCCAAATAAAGCTTAAATACATAACAAATATTAAGTGAAATAAGTTAACAGAAAGCTCACAGAGCAGCTCTTTTTTTTTTTTTTTTTTTAACCTCCTCTCATTTCCATTGTTACATTTTATTTTGCATACATAATATGGTATGGATAGTAAGTTCTTTACTTGCAGAGGGCTTGTTTGTCCAGCCTCTGACCTGCTGCTGGCATTATATAGATGAGACAGCCTTTTCAAGTGCCAGTCACTCAATACTTACAGTGTAACACTGTGTAACAATGTCAGCCTGATCAAAGAACTAGCCTTGGACTCAAAAGTGGCAGCAGAGGAGGAATAAAATTTGTGTTCTTTGCATAGTATGTTAGTGCTTTTTTTTTTTTTTTTTTTTTTGGAGGTATGCAGCGGGTCAGAAATGTCTAGCACTTAGACTGGGAAATGAAGCTATATTTGAACTACATGCATAATATGCTATCACCTAATACTGAACGCTGTTAATTGAGATGTATTAAACAGGTCAGGCCCTCTGTGAGTGCCAATGTGTCTGAATTCAGAAGCAAGCTAACCATGTTTTAAAATACAATGGTCCAGACAAAATCCTCAGGTCTGTTTTCCTTCCCCAACTCAACCCCACACTATAGTATCACTACAGTCTCAACTTCAAGCTAGTTTACAAGCTTAAAGGTACATCTAGATGCATACATATAATTTCAGCTTCTTTTAACTTCATAAACACAATGTAAAAAGCTGTGTGAAAACATCAAGCAGCTGTAGGATTTATGCCCAATTACATTTCAAGCATATGACTGCTGGGGCAGTCCAACAATCCAAGAACAACAACAAATACAGGAATGATCACTGAACCGAAAACAGAGGTCTTACATTTAAACGTGTGAACTTTCAGTTCTTTTAATGTCTCT